TTAGAAGATACTCTGAGGAAAATGAAACAGGAGATGTGTCGGAGGCTACAGTGTGAGAGGCCCGCAAGGTATATATAAGGGGAATCCTTATTGCAATTGGGGCAAGAAAAAAAAGAGAAAGGAGAGAGAAAATCAGTGGGATCTTAAAGGAACTAGCAGAGTTTGAACAGCTGCATAAAAAGAATATGACAAAAGAAATAATGCAGAAAGTAAAGGAAAAGAAAGAATTAGAGATCATGATGGAAGAAGAGAAGAAGAGAGTTTATAATAAAGTGCTATGTGAAAGATATAGATGGGGGAAAGAACAGGAAAGTTTCTAATGAGAGCTCTGAGGAAAAAGAAAAATAGGAATTATATAGATAAAATAAAAAACCCCAAGGGAGAACTGGTTCACTCAACTAGAGATATTGCGAAGGTGTTTAGGGATTATTATAGTAAACTTTATAACATTACCCCCCAAGATTCAACATATAAGGATGGAATAGCAAAGGCGGAAAGAAGAAGAATATATTTAAAAAACGCAGGTCTACCGAAATTAAATGAAGATCTCTTGAACTCTCTAGAATCTGAAATTACAAATGAAGAAATAAAGATAGCATTAAAAAGCTCTGACAGGTAAAAGCCCCGGACCAGATTGGTATACTGTTAGATATTATAAAAAATACAGTGAATTGTTAATACCTAAATTAAAGTCCTATTTTAACACTTTGGGGGGAGAGATGGACATGAGACGAGAATCATTGCAGGCTCAGGTGGTCCTCATCCACAAAGAAGGAAAAGATCCCATCCAGTGCTCAAGCTATAGACCAATATCATTATTGAATACTGACACAAAGATATATGCAAAGATCTTAGCAAATAGACTGAGGGATTTGATGCCCGAGTGGATACATGAAGATCAGGTGGGATATGTTCAAGGGAGAGAGGGCAAAGACAATGGGTTGAGATCATTGCTGCTTATTCAGAAAAGTAGAAAGGAAAGGACTCCAGTGGTGGTTCTCTCAGTAGATGCAGAGAAGGCATTTGATAGAGTTAACTGGGAATATATGATGAATACATTGGAGGTTCTGGGAGTGGGAGCTAGAATGAGAGCATGGATAGGGAAGTTGTATAGGTAGCCCTCTGCAGTGGTTATGGTAAACGGGGAGATGTCGGAGTCATTAGAGATGACATATCGAACAAGACAGGGTTGTCCACTGTCCCCATTGTTGTATATTTTGTTCTTGGAATCACTGTTGGCAACAATAAGGAAAAATTTAGACATAAAAGGAATATGTGTAGGAAATATAGAACACAAGGTTGCCGCTTTTGCGGATGATCTACTGTTTTATGTTGGTAATCCTAGGATAACGCTCCCTAATTTAATAAGGGCATTGAAGGAATATGGAGAGATGTCAAATCTAAAAATTAACCTGGCTAAAACAGAAATATTAAACATAAATCTTCCAAATAAGGAAAAAAGGGGGATACAAGGGAAATTTCCCTTTTGTATGGAAAGAGAGCGAATTAAAATACTTGGGAGTAAAACTCACTTCGGCATATAAAAACCTTTATAAATCAAATTATATAGTAATGCTAAATGAAATTAGAGAGGAATTAAAGAGATTAGGAGGAGGAAAGCAGTCCTGGCTGGGACGCATAAATTTGATAAAAATGGTAGTGGTTCCCAAAATCCTATAAAAATTTCAAATGGTCCCTATTAAGATTCCAGAGGTATATTTTAGGATGATTAAAAAGATGATAAGATATATTTTAGAGAAATAAAAAAACCGAGAGTATCTTATGAAGTGATAACTAGAAATAAAGAGAAAGGCGGATTGGGAGTGCCAGACTTTAAGAGATATTATAAAGCAGTAATTCTGGCTAGAATATTTGATTGGACACATAATTTAAAAAAAGTTGGGTCACAATAGAAAATTCACTTAGTGGTAATAATTTAAGTAGGAGTATATGGGTGCCATCAGAGTATAGAGGATTAAAAGAGAGCACGAGTGTGTACATTTTAAATGTGTTAAGAGTGTGGGATAGAATGCACAAACAGTTAAAGTGGGAATTTAACTCACTCTTGATGCCATTGAGAAATTCAGGGTTTTTCCCGCCAGGTAGGGAGGAAATCTCAGGGAAATGGATCAAGAATGTGAGAGTCCAGCTGAGAGATATAATGAAAGGCGTAGAACTGAGAACACTTAAGGACTTGGAAAAGGAAGAAGGAAAGATTTTTACTAAGATAAATAGTTGGAGCTATAATCAATTAAAATGGTTTGTGGAGAAATTGCCTAAACCTTTGAGAACTAGAACAGACTGGAATTTGTTTGAGAGGTTGTTGGATTCACGGGGTGATGGAATGCATGGTACGGCAAAAATATACAAAATTCTTACTGAGTTAGATATAGGTGGAAAAATATTAATGTATATAGAAAAATGGGAAAGCGATTTGGGGGTGGAGATAGATGAGGGTAAACAGAAAAAAAATATTTTAGGTTGGTTCACGAGAATATTAGTGCATGTGAGGTGGAAATGAACTACAAATGTTTGACAAGAGGATATATTACACCAAGTATAGAGCATAAAATGAGTGAGGAGAAATCACCTTTGTGTTGGCAAGAGTGTAGAGAGATAGGCACAATCTATCACATATGGTGAAAATGTCCAAAGATACAAATATTCTGGAGAAGAGTGGTATATCAAATTAGAAAGATAACGGAAATTGATATTAGTTTGGATCCTGGAACCTGCCTTTTACAGAATACAGAATTATCAGTAAATAAATACAAAGAATCAGGAGTAGGATATTTTTTAAATGCAGCCAAGGGTTTGATTCCAAAGTGTTGGCGTCAAGTAGAAGTTTTAAAAGAGGAAGTTTGGATAGATAGCGTGGACCATATTGTTAGATTGGAGAAATTACTTTATATTCAAGAAAATAGGTTGGCGACATATTATGCGAAATGGAAAAAATGGGAAGAGTTTAGATCAAAGGTGAATAGATGAAAAAAAAAAAAAGGGGGAGGGAGGAAGAGGAAGAAAAAAAAAAAAAAAGAAGAAGAAAAAAGAAAAGATCTCTCTTTATTCCTACCCATTTGTAATAAGAACATCTTTAAAGCCTCTTTTTCTCCTGCCAAAGAGTGGAAGGCGAAGGGAAGAGCGGGAGGGGTGACTTTAGATTTTGTTAAGGGGGGGGGAGAAATAAGAAAAATATGGGAAATGAATGATTTGGTTTTTGTTGTTATATGAATGTAAAAAGTTTATATTGTGGATTTTAAATTTCCTAATATTTTGAAAATTAATAAATATTTAAATAAAAAAAATATATATATATGCAATAATCTAAATAAATATAAAAATAACATCAAAAATAAGATTGTGTCAAACCACTATAATCAACTTTCAAAATAAAAAAAATAAATAAAAAACCTCGAAGAGTATATATCCATACAGATGGACAAATGTGTATATGGACAATAATAAGCTAGATGCCTAAATATGTCAAAAACATGCAAACTTAAAAGGTGTATGTGATATAACCCAGTACTCCACTCTCAAAATAGAAAAACTATTATAAAAGTGTATATGGGTACAGATTGACAAATGTACCTATGGACAAATATAAATATTGCAAACAAAGTTGAAGAAGAATAAAGCAATCAAATGTGCAAGATGGCCGTACAGATGAAAAAGTATCCTGGTGAACAGTCCAAAATTAGGATGGAAAATCCCAAAGGAAAAGAAGACACACTTCAAAGTGTAAGATGGAGAGCATTCAGTGCAGCAGGAATAGAGGGTGCCAGGAAATCCCACCACCCATATGTAAGGTGAACTCCTTACCAGAGACATTGATCCCACATAGAGATCATGAAGCGCCTTGCTGTCCCACAGCACAAAATATTCAGACACGCCACTCCATTTGGATACGATCCTGTATAAGTGCGCTCAGCACGGTGGAGTTAAACAAGAAGGGACCACCATAGTGTATGTAGTATGGTAAAACCAAGGGCTTTTAATATGGTAATGTACTTACAATAAAAAGGCAATCAAAAGCATATAACAAATGATGAGCATCACCGGATTCCGCCAGCGTGCATAATAGTGTCACGTGTTTGGCCCTGACCTAACGCGTTTTACTGTAAAACAGCGTCTTCAGAGGACAGAGGTATAACACAGGACATCCATTGCTCTCTTAAATACAGCCCTTGCTTCCCCTTCAACATTGTTTGCAATATTTATGTTTGTTCATTTAACCTTTGTCCATATGTACATGTGTCCATCTGTACGCATATACACTTTTATAAAGGTTTTTCTATTTTGAGAGTGGAGTACTGGATTATATCACATACACCTTCTAATTTGCGTGTCTTTGACATATTTAGGCACCTAGCTTATTATTGTCCATACACACATTTGTCCATCTGTACGTATATATATATATATATATCTATATATATATATATATATATATATATATATATATATATATATATATATATATATATACACACACATACATACATACACACACACACACACTCTTCTAGGTTTGTTTATTTATTTCTATACTTTTTGAAAGTTGATTATGGTGTTTTGACACAACCTTATTTGTGGTTTTATTTTTATATTTATTTAAATAATTTTATATATTGAGCTCACATTATCTATTTTCTCTATGATAATATGGTTTGATATTATATGCATAATTGTACTTTGGTATTTTTAAGAGACAGCGCACCCCCTTTTCTTCAATTAGTTGTTTTACATCTAGTATCTAGATTCTGTAGTGGATGCAGTAGTCTTTGTTTATTTTCTGTTTTTGCTAGCGCAAGGAAATTCTTTGGTTTGTTTTTAATATATTTTTATTACTGTATATACACATAGAAATAATAAAACAAAACTGACCCAAAATAATTATAAACTGTATCAATAAACTGACTCCTTGCAATGTACTGTTTTTTCACTGTAGCCTTCTATGCATTCCATGTATTTTCTAACTGGGAATCTTATTCCTTTAGCCTTTTGGAAGAGTATCGTGATTTGTATGAATTGCAGAGGAGTCGTTTGGAGAACCAGGTTGTTCACCTTACAGAAGAAAGAGATATTTGGAGTTCAGCCACATATAGGCTGGCTAGGAAGGTGACTATTACCAACTACAGACAGTCTTGTATTGAAGACAGTGGAAAATTGTGTGCTTGTAGATGGTGCAAGTTATAATTTAATTGCTTTAATTCAATGATATATTAGCACATAAGCATTTGATCTGTAATAATGTCATTCTGTTCTTTAATTTAGGTAATAGAAGCCAACCAACTTCAACTGACTCGTAAAATGTACTTAAGTGAGAAAGCCTGGGCAAAGGTGGTCCTGCATTTTCTTGTGCTTCTTGCATCAAATGTAAGTTGAAGTAAGTTCAAGGTAAATACAAATTGTGCTAATGATGTCATTTATCTTATAGCCTTTGTCTTGAAATAAAAATACAAAACAGCATAGCAAGTTTCCCTATTGATCAGGTTAATTTGTGCTAATTGAAAGAGCATTCGTGGCTTATACTGTATTTTAATATGTTAAAATAGTGTTAAAACTGTGTTAAAATCCTACAGATTAAGAACTGTTGCACACTGCTGCCTGAAAATGCTCAGTTTTCAGGCATACAGGTGCTGTTTACTGATCTAAATGCAGCCCATTGTTTTAAATGAGCCTATACACACAGGTGCGTAAACATGCACTGTGTATAGATATAAAAATAAACAAATTGTATCTACAACAATGAATTAGAATTCATCTTTCAGTATTGCTCCAGGAAAATATATTTGCTTTCTCTGGATTTTGCAACTTCGCACTTCACCATCTCTTTCTGCGCTACCCTATCAGTTAATCACTGTTCCTGATTTTATAGGACACAAAAGACCTTTCTGAAATCCAACAAGGTACCGAAAAAATGGCGAGACCACATGGCCCGCTTTGATCAAGAGGTGAAGCGCAATGAGGAGTCGAGCAGAGAGAAATTGCAGATTATCTGTAGAGCTATGAAGAAATGGCACACGTATTTTCAGGAAAAAATCTTGTATGTGAAACTTTTAAACTGATGAGTCTCTTTTTAAGTGACATAGATAGGGATTGTCTATGTCACCAAAATAAGAATTTTGTACTTACTGTGCTTTTCTCTGAGTCCATTGAGAGACACAGCTTTATGATAATTAAGCAACCTGGAGTTATACGGTCACCTACAGGAGAAACGAACACTAAGCACATATACCAGCTTAAGGCCAGCTCTTTTTAAGTTACAACACCTCCCTCATCACACTAGGTCAGCTGTAGCAAGTAGTCCAAAGAGATAATGATAACATATGAGAGAAGGAAGCTGTGTCCCTCAATAGAAAAATATTTTACAAGTACAAAAGTCCTATTTTCTCTATCATTCATTGAGGGACACTACTTGATCGTAATAATACATATTAGAGATCTCCAAAAAGCAGTTCAAGAAGAGGAGCAGGCATACCAAAACAAACAGGACAACCAGTCCACCAGGAGAAAGACCAAAAGGCATAAGAAAATCAAGGGCATTAAACAGCCACTTTCAGTACCTTTCAAGCAAAGTTAACATTTGCTTAGGCAGACATATCAATCTTAAAATTTAAAGAACATATGTACAGAAGACAAGGTCAAAGTCTTACAGAACTGAAATACAGAGGATGATGACGAAAAGCCCAGGAAGTACTCATTGCCCTATAGGAGTGGGCTTTAACAAAAAAAGGAGGCACTTTATCTTGCAAGTCATGAGTTTGCACAACAACGTGTCAAACACCCTTAAAAATATTGGATCTTGAAGCTGGAGAACACTTTGAGGAACTTCTGAAATAAACAGGGGATCCATCTGCCTAAGAGAAGCAGTAGCTTAGAGAGAAATTCTGACAGCCCTCACCAGGAAGTTGAGATTATTATTATACAGGATTTATATAGCGCCAACAGTTTGCTCAGCACTGTACATTATAATGGGAGACAGTACATGAGACAGTACAGTAACAATACGATTAAATACACGAGGGGTTTGAGGGCCTTGCTCCTTGGAGCTTACAATCTAGGAGGGAGGGGATAGTGGTACAGGAGGAAATAGCTGTGGGGGATGGAGTGGTAGGAAGAGTGGAGGAGTTCAGTAATTAGCTGAGGGTGTGGTAGGCTTCCCTGAAGAGAGAGGTTTTCAGAGTGCGCCTAAAGGTGAGGAGAGTAGGTGATAGTCTGATGGATTGGGGTAGGGAGTTCCAGAGGATGGGGGAAGCCCTGGAGAAGTCCTGGAGACAGGCACGGGAGGAGGAGACCAGGGAACTAGATAGTAGGAGGTCTTGTGAGGAGCAGAGAGTACGTTTTGGGTGGTATTTGGATACCAGATCGGTGATGTAGTTTGGGGCAGTATTATGAACAGCTTTATAAGTCAATGTTAGCATTTTGAATTTTATCCGTTGGGCAATCGGGAGCCAGTGGAGGGATTGGCAGAGAGGTGTGGCGGATACGGAGCGGTTAGTAAGGTGGATGAGTCTGGCTGCAGCATTCAAGATAGACTGAAGCGGGGATAGCCTGCGGTGGGGTAAGCCGATGAGGAGGGAGTTACAGTAGTCAAGGCGTGATATGATGAGGGAGTGAATGAGTTGCTTAGTGGTTTCCGGGGTAAGGAACGGACGTATTCTGGAGATGTTGCAGAGGTGATGTCTACATGAGTTTGTCAGCGAATGGACCTGGGGCTGGAAGGATAGATTGGAGTTTAGGATGACACCTAGTATTCTGGCTTGAGGGGAGGGACTGATGGTGGTGTTGTTGGTCTTGATTGAGAAGTCGGGTGGGCGCGGGCTGGGGGGAAAACTAGGAGCTCAGTTTTGGAAAGATTTAGTTTGAGGAAGTGGAGTGACATCCAATCTGATATGTCGGTCAGTAGGCTTGTGATAGGGGCGGAGACTGAAGGGATGAGGTGAGGGGTAGAGATATTTGCGTGTCGCCGGCATAGAGATGGTAGTTGAAGCCGTGAGAGTGTATCAGTTGGCCAAGGGAGGAGGTGTAGATGGAGAAGAGAAGGACAGAACCTTGAGGGACCTCAACAGAGAGGGGGAGTAAAGAGGAGGTGGCAGCGTTATAGGTAACACTGAAGGAGTGCTGTGATAGATAGGAAGAGAGCCAGGAGAGAGCGGAGTATCGGAGGCCAAGAGAGTGCAGTTTTTTGAGGAGGAGGGGGTGGTCAACTGTGTCGAAAGCTGCAGAGAGGTCAAGGAGTAGGAGCACTTTGTAGTGGCCATTAGCTTTGGCGGTGAGCAGGTCGTTTGTGAGTTTGAGTAGGGCAGTTTCGGTGGAGTGTAGGAGGAGGAAGCCAGACTGTAGGGGATCAAGGAGGTTGTTGTCGGTGAGGTGGGAACTCAGGCGATTATAGACTAAGCGCTCTAGGAGTTTGTATGTAAATGGCAGCAGGGAGATGGGAGATGAGATCTCCTTATAGTTGCCTAGTGCTATACACAGGGAAGGTAACTCTCCTCTTTAAAATATCCTCTTTAGGGTGGAAAGCGGGGACCAATCTGAGTAAAATAGAGACCTTTGGTCTCTAGACAACATTGTCTTTATGTAAGATTAAAGCAGAATTAAACCCATTGATTTAACTGTTTCCAAAAACAGTTACATTCAAGGCATGCAGTGAATGATAAATGTCACAGTTGCTTGTACTCTCACCAAACTGTCAAGCCATCAAATGGCCTATATCATAACTGATCACATGTGCAGTGTCATGGCAACTGCAGATCAAACATGTTAAGATCACAGTTTCCTTGACTGTAAAGCATAGGAGGGTTCAATTCTGCTTTAAATAGGGCTACTTACAGGAAAATACTGATAATTTAAACACTCTTCTGACTAAAGTGATGACTACAAGAAAGAATACATAGGGGATAACAAAATGTAAACTGAAGCGCCATACCACTGCTTAAAGGTCCAGATATAACATTATTCTAATAAACGTCAAGAGGACAATCTAAAGAGAATCCCGTGCATTTTGGGGGTTCAAAAATGCCCACTTCACCTGAAAAAGACATAAGAACATCTCCATATCAATACAACATCAATACAATATCCACTCCTCAGGGTCATAGTTAAAACTAAATACCCAATAGCATTGGACGTATAAAAATGTAAAAATTGAGTGGATAAGTAATATACAAGAACCTTTAGACAAATGTGATCATCTGAACAATAAAATATACCATTTCAGTTCATCAACTGCGTTAAAAACAGTAATAATAGTAGTAGTAAATAATATTAAATACACCCTGATATAAATAACCTTTATTGGAATAAGGGACCTTTTGTACAGTTGAATGCTGCATCAATTTACATTTTTGTTACATTACACTACAAGCCAAGGAGACTGTGGAGCCAAGGAGACATTGGAGATTCAGATAAATTACATCAACATCAAAACTTTAAGCAATAATCGATAGGATAAACTTACAGGTCCAGCACTATTTTTCTACTTTCCTCAACTTATGGACAACAAAGGAAATAATATGTCTTGAATAGGTTTAAATGGGGATCTTTGTTACAAACACTAGAATCTCATGGTTGGAGTGAGAGCTCAACAGGAAGACCATTGTGTGCAAACACTTGAATGGAAGTACAAATTAGTGAAGTATTAGCAAGAGAACATTGAAAAAGAATGGACAGACATTTGACCCTTGATGGTAGTTAGAGCCAAGTGTTGTTCTACAGGGGCAGCCTGTCTGACATCACAGCTAGTGTTTTAGAGTACCAAGGAAGGTGGGACAACTACATGTACATTGTCCCACTAGGAACTAAGCAATTCCTTTAGCATGGTCGAAAAGACTGAATACAAAATATCTATCAGAAAAATCCAAAAATCTCTCAGAACCTGGCTTTCAGTAGCCAAATCATTAATCCCAGGTACTGAGAAGCTGGGTGGAAGATCAGTCATTAAGATAACAGATCTAGAAGATCTGGTAGAGGCTACGGAGTGCTGGTTAACAGATGAGCAACGTTGGCGTACCAAACTCACTGAGACCAATCCAGAGCTTAACCAATGACT